TGGAGTATCTAACCCACGAAAGCTTATGCTCCCAATACTTCTGTTAGTCTCAAAGGTGCCACAGGACCCTCTGTTGCTTTTTACAGTTATCAATATAGTCATCATTCTAAATTTATAATTTTCCTGTCTAGTGGTGATTGTTCTTTGATCTCTTTTCTTTTTGGCAGAGTAAGATATCATTGCTTCTCTTAAGTACACTGATTGTTGCCCAGAGCAGATCTGGAGAATTCTTAAAACGTACTTTATTATCACAGACAGATTGAGTGTTAGAGGTTAGATATTCAGCAAGGTCAAGAGTCTGATGGGCATATTTTAATAATAGCATATCTTATGGATGCAAAGTTATTCTAATAGCCACTACACTGGTGCATGATCATCTGTTTTGATGCCAATTTGTTAATGTTTAACTGTGTAAAATTGAAGGAAAATAATAATAACTGATTAGTTAAAAAAGATTGATGGAAATAAGAAAAGCATATTTCCTTGTTCTATAGGCTTAGGAAATGCTAACTGCTGGGTGGGCTGTTCACATCAAATATTTTCTCTATGCTCAGTTGCAGCTTCAGTAGAGATAGAGGGAATGAACTGCAGTTGTCTGTCTAGTGTTGATCAAGCAATTACCAAAATATTTTGATTAATCCCATGCTCATGAAATATTTTTGCATAAAATCTACAGGGCACAACATTAGTTCAGGAACAGTACATAAGAACAATACAATATATTTCCTGTAATTAGAGACATGCATAATTTTAATAGTAACTGTTGGGGAGGAGAATTATTTTCTTTTTCTAGAGTCAAAAGATGAAAGCCACATTGAGCTAACCCAGTAAAATATTTGTTTTACATCACATTTTGATATATCTCCTGTAGTAGACCATTGAGCTTTAGTATCAACAGTTATCAGGGCTTTTATCTTTTTTGCATTCATGCACGTGTTATACCATTAGCCCTTCGTCAATTATCTTCAAGGAAATGTTAAACCTATCCTACTGCACAGATAGAATGATGGAAAAAGAAAGCAAAAATATTAAGCAAAATATTTACCAGTGGATACCTGTTCCTTTATATATTGTCCTCCTTAAACCATCTATTTTACCATAATACCAGCATATTTGCCAATAATGTAATCTGTTGTAGCTGTGATAGATATCTACCTTGGAAGGATGAATGCAGTTGTTGTGCATTTATGATATTAAGTAATTTAAAACAGCATGAAAACAAATAAGAGAAGATGGTTTATATTTTTTCCAGAATCTTTAGTGGGCACTAACATTTCAATGGATGTGGATCCTGAAAGTTCAAAAATGGCAGGGTCCAAATAAACTCTCCACCACCTCTCTCCAAGACTGAGCAGCTGGGCTTGCTAGGGAACAGGGACTGAGAAGTCATGCACATACCCTAGGATGCAAAGTCGCAGTGATGCTTCTCTACAGCTGATTGTGCAGCTTAGGTATTGCAATAGGTCCCCACTGCTTCATTGTCCATGCTCCACAGAGCTAGTATTGGATTCAGTAGCTCTGCCCCTACCTGGCTTACTGCCAAACCCTGCCTTGTGGGGGAAGGAGGGATTTCCCTCCTTCCTTCCTCCCTGTGCACACTGGCTTCTGATTTCAAGCTACATATCCATGTACTAGTTTCACAGATCCTATTTCACTGCCTCTCAAGGCTGATTCCCCACTCTGGCATTTTGAGTGCAGAAGGTGGGGTCCCTCAAGGATTCTAAAACTAATACTGGCCACTCCAGGCTGGTATTAAACTCCCAAGGTTACAGCTTTTCTCTGACCTTGGATGGGTAGATGCTGCCACCACCCAATTGCAAAAAAAACCCAACCCTTTGAGAACCCAGGAAGGAGCACTTGGGAATTCCTTCCTGTAGGGTACCCTCAAGCACCTTCACCCCCCCCCTCCAGGGAAGAGCTGATAAAGAAAATCAGCTGTTGCCACTAGCTAATTAAACAACATGTGCACAAACCTCTTAGGGCATCAAAAATAAAACCCTGTTCTTAAAAAAGGTAAATTTTATTAAACACAAAAAGAAGGAAAATACATCTGGAACTTAGGCTTTTGCTAGATTTTAAAAACCC